TGGCAAACTATAACCCACACCAACCTACAACACAGGAGGCGACACTGATGACTAGCAGCGTGTGCGTGAGAGAGAGTGAGTGTGTGTGTGTGTGTGTGTGTGTGTGTGTGTGTGTGTACATGACAATGAGAGAACAGACTGGCAGCTAAATAAAACTCTGCACCATCCCACATGTGCTCTGCGGAGGGTGAAGGTGTGCGTTTCTAAATCTGCTGTCACCGTGGAGTTTTTGCACACAGTGCAGATGCACAATTCACGACAAAACACCAACTCTTTTATTCTTAGACCCCGTTGTAATTGAGCTGAAATTCACCCAGTTATAAAAAGGTCTGAGAAATAAGATACAAAACTTTAAACTCCAAACTGTTGGTGCAAAATTTAAGGCTGCACACAACCAATACTAATGAGGAAAAACGTAAAAAAATCTCTTATAATTGTTCCTGTGACATGTGAATCATTAGTTAACACTTAGATTAACAAAGGATACTTGAAAAAGAATGTCAGCGGTATTGGCTGATGCCTGCACTCACAAGGCCGTATGTTTTGGGAAGGTGGTAAAAAAGTTAGTTTCGAGCCTTAAATGTCCTCAGTCACCAAAGTCTTTTCTATATGTTAACACATTGCTCCTAAATGACAAATCTCATCCAAAACCATTACTAGCTAGTATTAACACTGCCAGGTCGACGATGTCGCAACCGACATCAAAGCTTATGTAATATGTCATCCTTAATATCTCTGGAACGCTGCATGCTAGAGACTTACTTTTTTTGTTTGTTTGTTTACCGGAAGGTTACTGTTACGCCGTTTCAACGAGTGCTCTGGTGCAATCGTATCGCTCTCAGAAGCGTTGTAATCCTACCTTGAAGTCCGTTGTCTTTTTGGAGACTTTGTAAAATTAATCCATAAAGATGCATCCACCACCAAACGTCTTCTGTGATTATTTATCCATCTTTCTTCAGTTAAAATCGTTATTGTTGTTAGCATGCTTGCTAGACGCCCACTGGCAATCCCATGATGCATTTTGTTTAGTCTCACAATCAATCAGTGGCGGTGTTTTGACATGTTGACCACAATCAGACGCTTTGTGGGCATGTGTGTGGTAGCACTGATCTCAAGCGCACTGCACAATGGAATAACCTGAAATAATGGGTAGAAGAACGTAAATGTAATAAATAATGTGTAGATTTTCTGTTGCACATGTCACAAGTCCAGCGTGCATTGCATGATATAGTTATTTGTCTTTACCACAGAGGTTGTTACACGTTTTGTTTGACTTCGACATGAAAAAGGACCACATGTGATAGGCAGCATCGCTCAGCCAGCCGTGCAGTATCTTAGCTGTTCCTAGGACTGCACTCTTCTGGACAGAGACCTCTGATGTTTTACCTGGAATCTGCTGTCACTTTGCCATATCTATCACTGCAGCCTTCTTCTGCTGTCTTTGGGACCTTGGGACTTCCAGCCCATACTCATGGCAGATGTTCCTGTACACTATGACAGCTACCGTTCCATGTATGCACTTTCTGCTTGCATCTTACACCCCGCTGTTATGTGCTGTACTGTCTCAATGCATTCTTGCACAGTCTGCACCTGGGGTCCTGCCTGGTGTGGTGGACCCCAGCCTCTATTGATCTTGTACTCTGAGTGCCTGTTCTTGTGCCGCCATGATTAGTGCTTCTGTGCTGTCCTTCAGTCCAGCCTTTTCCAGCCACTGGTAGGATTTCTTGATATCAGCCACATCTTCTATTTGTCTGTGCTACATGCCGTGCAGCGGCCTGTCCCTCCATGAAGGTTCTTCATCTTCCTTGTCCTCACCCTCGGATTTCTGCTGCCTGAGGTATTCACTAAACCCTTCATCTTTGGGGGTCATCTTCCTGATGTACTCCTGGATCTTCTTCGTTTCATCCTGGACAGTGGTCTTGACACTCACTAGCCCTCGGCCTCCCTCGCTACGCTTGGTGTACAGTCTCAGGGTGCTGGATTTGGGGTGAAACCCTCCATGCATTGTGAGGAGCTTTCTTGTCTTGATTTCAGTGGCTTCTATCTCCTCCTTTGGCCAGTTTATTATACCAGCGGGGTATCTGATGACTGGCAGGGTGTATGTGTGTTGATAGCTCGGATCTTGTTCTTCCCATTCAGTTGACTTTTCAGGACCTGCCTTACTCTCTGTAGGTATTTGGCTGTGGCGGACCTTCTTGCTGCCTCCTCATGGTTTCTGTTAACCTGCGGCACCCCAAGGTATTTGTAGCTGTCCTGAACATCTGCAATGTGGCCTTCTGGTAGTTCAACCCCCTTGGTTCTGATCATTTTCCCTCTTTTTGATACCATTCGACCACACTTGTCCAGTCCGAAAGACATTCCAATGTCGTTGCTGTAGATCCTGGTAGTGTGGATCAGTGAGTCGATGTCTCGCTCATTTCTGGCATACAGCTTGATGTCATCCATGTAGAGAAGGTGACTGATGGTTGTTCCACTTCGGAACCGGTATACGTAGCCGGTCTTGATGATCTGGCTGAGAGGGTTCAGGCCTATGTAGAACAGCAGCGGTGATAGTGCATCGCCTTGGTATATGCCGCACTTGCTGGTGACTTGTGCAATTGGCTTTGAGTTGGCTTCCAGACTTGTTTTGCACAGCCCCATTGAGTTCTTGATGAAGGCTATTAGTGTCCTGTTGATCTTGTACATTTCCAAGCATTCCAGTATCCATGTATGTGGCATTGAGTCGTAGGCGTTCTTGTAGTCAATCCAGGCGGTGCACAGATTGGTCTGCCAGGTCTTGCAGTCTTGAGTGACTGCTCTATCAACCAGTAGCTGGTGCTTGGCTCCCCTGGTATTACTGTCTATTCCATTCTGGGCCCTGTCCATGTATTGAGCCATGTGCCTACTCATCTTTGCCACTATGATGCCTGACAGGAGCTTCCATGTTGTGCAGAGGCAGGTTATTGGCCGGTAGTTGGATGGGATTGGTCCCTTCTGGGGATCCTTCATGATCAGGACAGTCTGTCCTTGGGTTAACCATTCTGGGTGGGTCCCATCCATCAGCAGTTGGTTCATTTGTGCTGCCAGGCGTTCATGGAGTGCAGTTAGTTTGTTCAGCCAGTAGGTGTGGATCATGTCAAGGCCTGGTGCTGTCCAACTCTTGATATATATATCTATATCTATCTATATCTATATCTATCTATCTATCTATATATATATATCTCTATATCTATCTATCTATATCTATATATATATCTCTATATCTATATCTATATATCTCTATATCTATATCTATATATATATCTCTATATCTATATCTCTATCTATATCTCTCTATATATATCTCTATATCTATATCTATATATCTCTATATCTCTATATATATCTCTATATCTCTATATATATCTCTATATCTCTATATATCTCTATATCTCTCTATATATCTATCTATCTATCTATCTATCTCTATATATCTATATCTATATATATATCTATATATCTATCTATATATCTATATCTATATATCTATCTATATATCTATCTATATATATATCTAGATATCTCTATATATATATAGAGATATCTATCTCTATCTCTATATATCTCAGACAGGAACTGCTTGCACGGCACACATAAGGTTGTGGATAACAGGAAAAACGGAAGGACTTCTCTGAACACAAATTGATGTAATTTTTGATGTGTGTTGGTTAGACAATTTTTTCCCCCTGATTGCCAAGACAAGGGGGAACAATTCTGAGAAACCCAAATTATTGTTCATTACATTTTTCAATATGATTTGAATATAGTTCTGTGAGATTCAATTTCCGTTTTTATTTATTTTTTGTCTTTATGGTCCAGTGTTTCCCATTAATTAACGAGACCATGGCGGCCCGCCACAGACTAATTTGCTCCGCCATAGTCTCAAAATTAATGTTGTGTTTAGTGGGAGCTGTTCCGCACTGCTGTAAGCTCGTATGCTCACACACTTTGGCATCAGACTTTAGACAACCACCTTTCTTTTGAGGTAACTACAGTAACGTTAACAGTCTGCTTCTGTCACTTGTTTGTGAGAAGGCGATTAAGCTAGCTGCACATAAATTTGGAGTGCACACGTATTAAAGGGTTCGAGGTCCACCCACCATAATCTCTTAAAATCCTGTGGGAAACACTGTGGTCATATAACTATTAATACATTCATGTGATATGTGATGGTTTGAGGGTTAAATATATATTCTTATACTGTAGAGAATAAGGCAGTTGAATAATGTCACTTCAACCCCCCTATCAAGGTGGATTTAGTGAAAAAAAAGAAAGAAAAAAAAAATCAATCTTGTACGCTTCACTGAGTTTATCACAGTTCATATGGAGTTTAAACCATATGATTGCAGTTCATGTAACTTAAGGGTGACCTGTCTGGGCTCTTTGCCATTATCTGACTGGTGTTGATACCTATTAAGAAAACATGACTTAGATATGAAGTTAAATATTACCAACAGTCCAGAGTAGTCTTGCTAAGGATGGATATCTTTCAGATTGGATCAAGGACCGGGGACAAGCCAGTGTTTGTCGTTGGTCAAGTGTCATCTGACCCAACTGCTTACTTTAAAGTTAGCACAGTAATTAATGTTGGCAACTGTCCGTTATAAAGTCTGCTCTTCTCAATCACAAATGTGCCTGAGCAGGACTGCAGACTGAAACGTATATTGCAGGGTGAAGAAATAAAATAAAAAATCCTATGGAGGCTAAAATACAGTTTAGGCCAGTGTCATGTATGGATTGTGGTGGACAGACAAGTTTTGGCTGGACATGTTTGTCATACGCAGGATTTGTGTCTTAAAGAAATGTGACCTTTGGCTTTCAGATGTAAATGTCTGTGTTAGGTGACAAACAGATCAAAAGGAGAAGACGACAAAATCTAAATCACCCGGACCCTTGCGGGCATGTGAATTTGAAATGCATATTTGGTGTGGAGGTGTCATTCTTCTTCGGCTTTCACCCCTTTTCACCCAGTTTAATCTCACCTTAGTGCCCGGCTGAGCTTGTCATAGTTCATCTGCGGTTTACACTTCCTGGCACCCCACAAGCGGGCCACCTCATCTGGGTCCTTGATGACAAACTCTCCATAGTCTCCCTGCCAGGCGATGACCTCGTGGTACTCCTCTTTCCTCAGCAGCTCCAGGATGAAGTGCCACAGCTGGATCTGTCTGGAGCCTGGGCTTGACTCAGGCTTGTAGGCCCAATCCGGGAAGGCAAACCCTGGGGGACAGAGGAGAGAAAAGAGGGGTGTTCAGCTTGGTGATCATGAACAGAGGCAAATTCAAAGAAAAACAGGGATACAACAAGAAACATCTGGGTTTACTCCAGCTATTAAACCCTGTCTAGTTTTTTGTTCGTTGATGCACTGCATTTTATAAACCATAATCCTTTTGAAGTTGTTAATTGCGTACTTGAATGCAGCCGTCTAATTCACAGTAAGCGAAAAATGCTTATGTTAACAGCTCATAGCAGTCATATGAATGGCAATTTCTTGGTACTAAAAGATATATTGCATTTTGCAAGAACCCAGTCAACTGGCCTCCATTTTTTGTTCTTGAAGATTATATTTTGTCTCTCTAGAGATAAGCACAAGGTAAATAAATGTGTGGAATCAGGTTCCCATTTTTCAAAGAGGATAAGAGAGTTTAGTAAAAGAAAAATATGGGAGGAACAATAGAAAGAAACGCACTTGTAAAAGGACACCAGACATGCAAATTTGGATGAGACATGTACGTTGAAATCTTAAAATTATTTCGGTCTACGGTTTTGGTGCGAAGTGGATCTAGGGTCCCCAGGAATGCTGGTGATGAACGTTTTGGCTAAATCTGTTCCCACAGACCGCAGTCATATCAAAACTTCACCGCTATCGCCATCAAAGCTCAAAAATCAGCACTGTTATAAAAGATTAACAGGCCTTGAGATATGTGCAGACAAAATATAAGCTATGGTTTTATAACTACTATCAGAGCACACACTCACACAGGCACACACTATTATCCAACAGTTAAAAGTATAGGCTTTGAGTTGTAAAGCAGTGGGTGGCAGTAAAAGACTCAACACCACTTCAACACAAGGCCAGGCTGAAAAGCAAAGGCATAGTGACACACACACACACACACACACACACACACACACACACACACACACACACACACCTCATTAGGACCAGATGTGCATTGGCAATCAGGCTGAAAAAGCTAAGGGTGGGAAACATATGGCCACAATATAACAATACTGAATTTTGTGTATGTGTTCCTGTAACTGTAAAGAAACACACTATCCTAAATACCAAGGTTACAACCAGTTTCCCACACTCTACAAAGTCTGTCATATCTATGTAACAGTGACCTGTTAACAATGATGTGCTCAAGGCTAACAAACTAAAACACTGTGTGATGTGGCCTGTTGACCCAAGTTGCAATGACAGCACATGACACCATCATGCTGATATAATGTGAAAGTTGTTACATCATACTGTACGTGATCAGGGGTCTCAAAACACCATCTAATGTATCTCTGTATAGGCCCACTAATCAGGCATATTAAACAGGGAATTGTTTGATTTTTTCACTACTTTATTGCATTGTCAGCATTTGGGGCAGCACTGGGCCTTGGGCAGCTCCATAAAAGCAGACAATAATACACAAAAACAACCATAGAAAAGAACAAAAGAACAGATGGAAAACAGATAACACAACATAAAAAGGAGTTGTAAAAGTTGTAAAGACAGTTGGAAAAAAAGACACACCTGGCGGCTAAATCCCAGGGCAAACTGTGTCAAAATATGGTGCCCAGATGGTAATTAAATCAATTATGACTGTTCAATTTACACAATATGTGCTCTCATTGTCTACACTCTGTACTTATTGGGATTAAATTAATTTATGAATGGGTTGGAAATGGTTAAGTTTACGAAACATTAATTGCAGGTGTCAGTTTATTAAAATTATACAGTGAACCTGATATCTATTTTTCAATATGGATGTAATATGGTCTTGTTTCTGTCTGAAGCAACACAATCAATGCTTTAACTGCTCAGTGGCTCCTTCACAGTGGCTCAGGAGTTTTGTGAAGGTGAGAGACAACAAAGTCCAGAGTGAGTCACAAAATTCCTGTCCACATGTATGGTGCTTTTTCAAAAAACAAACAAACAAAACCCCGCTCTGAATTGTCAAGAAACTGCATTTACTCTGACTCTGCTGACAAATGCAGTGATGTTTTCGATCAAACTCTGGGCGTAATGATGAGCGCATTTACCGCCAGCCTTATTTTTCCCTATCCAGACACAGATCGCATTTTAATAGCAGGTGTAAAAGGAGTCAAAGCGAGTCATGGAAAAACAAAGTCAGACACGGTGAAACCACTATCAGGTGTGCAAAGTGCAGCTATATGTCTGCAAATGTCATTTATCCACAGTAGTAACAGTAGTAGTAGTAGTAGTAGAGCAAGTAGGGGCAGAAGTAGCAAAAGTAGTTGTTGTAGTAGTAAAAGTGGGAACTACAACACACACATTTTGTACACTAAGACCTATGAGAATCTCAATCATACAGATATAGAAAGCCATAAAAATGCACTTGTAATACCTAGTGTTTATCAAGTACAACTCAGGTGATGAAGCTCCGGAGTTGAATTTTTACTAGATTTTCAAGCACATGAAAAACTGCCCAGTTTAAACTCCAAGTATTGCACAGGCACATTGCCTCTGACATTGCTGCAAGCTCCCTTGTGATCAACGTCTGTCTAAATAATGGAGACACACTCAAGTTGAGTAACTGCAATCTGCTTCTCCCTTTAGGATTGATTTAAGAGTCAAGCTGTGACGTTTTAGTGTCCAACAGACACCACATATTGCAACAATTCCTGTGGAGCAGAGTTGCATCCTTTCTTTTCTCAACTTTCTTTCCATTTTTAATAATACCCCAATGGAAAACACTGATCCTTTCATTCACTGATCACTTGCAATGCATGAGAATCTTTTAGAGATTTAAATATATTAGAATTTCACGATAGAATTGATGACATTTCCTGATTGTAATCAGACTGAACCAACTCTTAATACAAGGACATAAAGTTGTTAAAGCTGTGATTTCGATATATAGAATTCAAATGCATTTTGTATGTAATCCACAAATAATGCCTCTCTGCTGGGAAATGTCTTTTGATGAGCCACAATGGAAAGAGCATGCTTGTTTGTTGTGTCTGTGCAATGTGTGCATCCAAGATAAAAGTGACCAGTAAAGAGTAGGACACATCTCTTTGTGTTTAATGCATTTGCTACGTTTTTTTTAGGACCTTGTAGAACATTAGAATTTTAAGAAACAAGACGTAACACTGATAACTGCATATATACAAAAGTGATGTGCAATGTTCACTCTCCAAATATGGTGGATCTTCAGTTTCACAACATGAAGGTGGCAGCTAACACACATGCACACAAAAAACCTTACAAAACTCATATTAAGAAATAGAAAAAAATATCCTGAAAAACAGACCGGCTCCTGGTGACTAATAAACCACATGCTGCTATCTGATCTCCCATGGTGCTCAGAAAGTGAGCCAAAAGACAGACAAGCCAGCTATGATTGTTGATTATAGCCATTTCAAGGCAGATTACTAATAGTGTACGAGCATATGATTCATACACCGGACAATAAGGCTCTTGTCACTGGGGACAGGTTAGGCGTTGTGACACAGACACAACAGGCTGCTGGTTAATGGGGTACACTGGCGATTGCTGGAGAAAAATACACATATGCACATGTAGTACACATACACAGATACGGGCTGACGCATTCAACACACAACAAAAATCAAAGTGGGCGAGCTAATATCTCTCTCACACACACGAAGTACACAGACGCACAACACAGGTTAGTGGGGAGAGGTAAGTGGGTTCATGCGTGGGTGCACAGAGAACACAGACAAAGAACACAGGAATAGCAACCATGCCCACTGCATGTGTGTGTGTGTGGTGCAGATGTCCCTGCTGACTCATTGCTTGTTCGTTCGTCGTTCAGCTTTCACAGATTCCGCCTTTCTCCCCCTCAACACCACTGCCATCTCTTTCTTTCTCTCTTTCCTCTTTCATTCTGTCCCTCCCTCGCTCAGCCTCTCCTAAGACACACTGTCTCCTAGCAACAAAAGCTTTTAGCGCTAAAAATAAATGGCAGAGTCACGACAGACAAGACACAATATGATTCAATTACAGAAACTTGCCAAAAGAGTTTTGGAGTTGAGGCACAGATCCAGAGAGCTGCAGTGTGAGGGTGTGATCTGTCTAAGGCTGCCTGACCAGCGGAGACCTCTTGCTACTGCGCTGGTTTCGCTGTCACACTGTGTTTACAATGGAGAGGACACGGTGCTCTGTCTCGTAAACACCGGAAGAGCATATTTTCACAACCACTCAGATCAATTCGAGCACAAAATCCTGTACTTTTATTACATTTTGCTTCGGAAGACAGACAAAGCCCATCCACCATTCACATTCAGGGTCCTTCTTTTGAAACGATTCAGAAGCAACACACCGGCAGCAAGAGAGGCAGATACAGAAAGTCAGTCTGCACAGCTGATGGTGTGGCATTCTGACAGATGCACAACTGTGGATCCAGTTGGATGTGCATCTGCTACAGCTGGTGGTTAATGTAATGTGAGTAAAAACAGAGATTAACAGATTCAAGAAGGCGGAGACAAAAAGCAAGAGAGAGTGGGAGAGGGACAGGGACATCAAAAGAGCAGTATGACTGAATAAACAGCCAAACGCTGTTGTTTTTACTGTTTTATCTATTTTATTTGATTTATTTAATGAACTGTATGAATTGAATTGTTCTTTTGTATTATCTTTTTTGCTTTGGAAATACTGTCTTGACATTCATGCCAATAAAAGCAAATTCAAATTGTTGCATACAAACTGTCATAACTTGAAGAAACCTACAATATTTGGTGATCTCAGCGGTTGGGCAAGGAGGAATGCAAACAAATCTACACTGAACAAAATTATTAACGCAACACTTTTGTTTTCACCCCCATTCAAGATCTAAGACTTTCTCTATGTACACAAAAGGCCTATTTCTCTCAAATATTGTTCACAAATCTGTCAAAATCTTTGTTGGTGAGCCCTTCTCCTTTGCCGAGATAATCCATGCACCTCACAGGTGTGGCATATCAAGATGCTGATCAGACAGCATGGGTGTGTCTTAGGCTGGCCACAATAAAAGTCCACT